TGTGTGTGTGTGTGTGTGTGTGTGTGTGTGTGTGTGTGTTGCTGTGTATGACAGCACGGCAGTCTGTTTGTGTGCATGAATGTATGTACAGGTGCCCCTTGATTTATGATGGGCTCCATCCCCTCTGGGGGAGTTCTCGACCTGAACCATTATGAGGCCCAAGAAGGTGCTCAATCCCAGTGCTTTGAGCGAGTGACAGAACACAGGGCCGGAATGCTCAGGGCCCCTGGTGCCTGTCAGCGGTCTCCTTGGAGAACGGAGTCCTATGGGGCTCCTATGCTGTTCCTTTCTGAACAATAAGACCTTCCTTTCCTGCCATCAGGAAGCATCAGAGCTGGTGGCAAGCCTTGGACAGCACACTGCGGGCAGATCTGAGGAGCAGAGGCCTGGAGAAGATGCTCTGGGCGCACCAGAGAAAGGAGAGGTAATAGGACTGCTCGGGTGCCTGAAGGGTCATTCAAGCTGCCAGGAGCCGGGACAGGGACGGGAGGTGACAGGGACGAGGAAGGCCCTTCCCTGAAACCCGCAAATCCTAATCCCTGGGCCTAGTTCAGAAGCCCAAGGAAAATAAGCTCATATCCATGGGAGAATGTTCTCCTCACATTTGTTAGCATTTAATTAAGGTATTTATTTTAGCTGTTAGCTATTTTAACAGGATATAATTAGAAAAAGAATTATTCTGATTTTATTCAGATTTTATTATGGCCAAAGCCCTTCTTCATGTTGCGTTGAACCTTCTAGAAAGTGGGGTGAGGAAACTGCAGCTCTGGGGGTCCTTGAAGCAGCCAAGACTGTGGCTAGTAGAGGGTGGCTGTGGTGCTTGGGACCCTCTGGCTGCTCCCTTTGTTTCTAGAAACTCCCAGGCTTGCGCTCTTTCTACTGTGACTTTTGCATGCGTGGGCATCAGGGGAGGTGAGGGACAGAGAGGCTTTGGGTTGCTTTGAACTGTTCACCAAGTGTGTCCGGCGGTTCCAGCTAGAGAAGAGTCAGAAGAAATGCAACTTCATAGCCTCTGTGGCTTTAGCAGCCTCCGCCCTGTGCTCAGGAAACAGTGGCTGTCCGGGAAGGTTCTACCCAAACTCTGGCCCTCCCATAATTTCCCAGAGCCCAGGGAGAGGTGTTGACCCTACACGGTGGCTCTTTCGTGATACAGAGCTTGGAGCCATCGGCAAGGGGCTTGTATCAGAACTGGGTCGCAAAGAAATCAGATCATCACAGTGGTCAGGAGAAGCAAATTCAAGCTCAGATCAAGAAATGAAGTCCACACCCCGTGAACTGTAAAGTGTTCCACGGGGCACATTCCTGGTGACACTGATAGCCATGGAGTGTGCCCACTAAGAGGCCATGGCTGTCCTGGTTCGGTGTGGCAGTCTTCACTCCACCCGAGGCACCGTGGACCCATGGTGGGTGGGAAGACAGAACTGTGCAAGCTTAAGGGCAGGACTTGCCCGTGGTGGCACAGAGCTGAGTCTGCCATGTCCCTTCCTTCACCTGCCAGGGGTGTCTGTTGGGTGGGCCCCTGGTGACACGGCCTTGACCTGCTCTGCTGGGGCAGAGACAGAGGGCCCCGGTGCTTGCAGGTGGCGTCTGGCTCTGAGGGGCACTCATGGCATTTCCAAGAGCAGCCAGGGATGTGGAGCAGACTGGGGACGGGATCACAGTCATCCTCCTGCCGTAAACACACTTTGACTGACTTCCAGCCTTTGCTTTCTCCCCCAGCTCCATCCACCTGTTTTGGGCTGTATCCATCAATGTGTACACTGGCAAATCCTCCCAGCATGGCTGACCTCAGGCTAGCCACGGATGGCAGTGGCTCCTGAGACCATGAGGGGTTGACTCAGCACAACACTGTCACAGGCTTCAGCTGGTGTCAGGGCTGTGCTGCTGACCGAAGGGGAAGCAAGTCTTTAAAGTGACACTAGTTGGGGATGTCAGGACGCAAAGGGGATCTCCCGGAGAGCTCTGTCAGACACGAGGAGGGTCCAGATAGTCCCAAATGCTGAATTTGTTCTTTCATTCTCTCTGTAGCATATTGAAGAAGACTTGTCTCCCCATCAGAGACAGGCTGATGTTCTCTGGAAGAGGAAGTTGGCCCCATCTGTCCCCAGAGCCCATTGGTGAACTGGCCTCTGTCACCATCGTAGGGAGTGATACCATTGATGTATTAAACACAGGTGAAAAGCTCTTTATATTCAGAAACCCAAAGGAACCAGAGATCTCACTGCTCATTCCTCCCAGGAAGAAAAAGAACTTCTTGAATGCTAAGAAAGCCAGCAGGGCTCTGGGGTTGGACTAGCCCAAGGGAAAGCTCTGGGGGCATCTGAAGACGGACTTATTCCTTCCTATGCACCTGTGTTTTGCTTGTTCATAAGCGACAACTTGCAGTAGACTGTCCTGGGACAGCCCGTTGCCATAGTATAGTGGGTGGGGTCTTGGGCTGGGGTTGCTCTTTCTAAGCGGGGTGCCACGTGTAACCCAGGACCTTCACACCTGCTGTTTGCTCTGGTTTTGTGAACTTCCATTTGGCTACTACCTGTATCCCGGGGACATGGACACTCCTCCCTCTTTGGTGGTCATGGGCCACCAAAGATCTGGAGGAGACACCTGCCCCTGTCACACCCAGCGCCACACTGTGTGACAAGAAGTCTACGTGTGTGAGGCAAGACTCTGTACATTGAGTTTGTTATGCCCTGTGGTTTTTATAAAAGGGACCTCAGGAAATAAACGTATTTCATGTACAGCTCTTCATAAGTGGACTCATTTTTACTTTCTGTAGCAAAAGCAGGATTCCTGTTTTAGGGCTCCAGGCAGGCCCTCGTCCTTTTCCTGGTTCTGATCGAGGACACGTAGAGGGCTCACTCACTGTCCAACAAATAAATCACAGCGAGTCCCTGTTGTTCACACTGCCCTTCTGTGCCCTGACCCTCTGCTGTCTCAGTGTGGTGGAGGCAGTGACATCTGCCAGGAGCTGGGTGACATCACTCACTTGTGAGCTTTTCTGAGAGCCTGGGAACACACCTGCAGTGGTCTTTTCCTGAGGGCAGGAAACAATTAGGAGGAAAGGGGTCTCTGGAGAAGCCCCTGTTGCAGTAGAGTTGCTGCTAGGCTCTCCCGGCTGCATTAACACACTCCTAGTTGTCACTGACACCCCAGTGGGGGTGTCACCATTCCCGTCTTACAGCCTAGGAGTGAGGTTTACAGAAGATAAGAGACGTGCCTGCAATCCCACCACCCATGAGGGAGGAATCCCAGATTGGAACCTGGGTCCCCTCCCTGCAAAGCCCTCATCCTGGGACTTTCTCTGTAAATCCCTGGAGACCTGCAGGCCCAGTCTAGGTGTGGGATGTTGGGCTAGGGTTGCACTCTCTGGGTGTCATGGTCATGAGCTGCCAGCTGGTCCCATTGCAAGATTAGCAGGTATGCATGCACGAGTGAGCAGTTTGAATTCAGGACAGGACTAGATGGGGCTGGTTTTCCACTCAGAAGGTCTGGGGGAGAGCTAGGACAGAGGCAGAACACTGGCTGTCACACGGGAGCTAATGGAGTAGAAATGACCAATCCTGCTCCACTACTCAGGGGCGGTGTTTTCCCAGACAAGTCACCCGATCTTTCTGAGTTTCATTTGCTTCTTTAACATGAACTCCCTTGCAAGCATGGATGCAACAGGCCCGTGAAGCTCTTGGTGGTATGGGCCTGCCGTACTGGTGTCCTCCTCTACCCTGTGATGGTGACAGTCTGCCTTTCAGGGCCCGCCGTACTGGTGTCCTCCTCTACCCTGTGATGGTGACAGTCTGCCTTTCTGACAATTTCCTGCTTCTGGCAGGACTCTGCTACAATCATGCATAGTTGCAAGTAGACTGCACCTGAGGATTCCAAAAATTAGTGCAGAATTCTCTGCTAAAGGCTGATCAAAGAGGCTGTTAGCAACAACAGGAGGTGCGCGCCTCAGAACCTCATAATGGCTCCCTAGGTTGTTAGGCAGACAAAGATTCCCCTTCTATAGACTCACTGCACAAAGAGACACCAAGACGTGCTGTGGAAAGCCCGTGTTTGTGCAGTCAGCTTTGTGTTCAAATCCAGCCCTCCTGCTTTAGAGCAAGACAGTTTACCCCTCTGACCCTTGGCCTCTTTGTCTGTAACACGTGGCTTTCCACACCCACTTTAGAGATGTAAGGAGTGATGGTACTAGATATTTTGTCTACAGTGTTTGACAGAATGCTGATGCACAGTCAAGGTGTCTTGGTTGTTTTATTGTATCTGTAAGTATTCACAAAGTTAAGTGAGGCTGGTACCTTCATTCCCATTTCTGCTCTGGATGAAGATGGTTTATTCACGCCCAAATTTAATCTCCAAGTCATATGCTAATGCTATTAAGAAGGTGGAGACTTTACCCTCCTGTGGTGTTTACAGGCGAGGCCTTTGCCAGGTGATTAGGATTAGATAAGGTCCTTAGGGCGGAGTCCCCTCATTCAGTCCTGGCAGCTTGTTCGGAAGAGGAGGAAAGGGCGGGTATGAGAGACACCTCCCTGACTGCCGCGGGAGGCTCAGTGCTGCGGCGGTGGGACTCACACAGCCTGGAACTTCAGAACTGTGAACCGGATAACTCCCTTTTCTTTGTAAATGAGGCTGCCTGGGAATTTCATCACAGCAGTGAAAAGCACCCTAGAGCACGTGGAAGCCTGTTGTGGGAGGGAAACTTCGGCAGCTCGGGCAGAGAAGACTTGGACTTGAGTTTTGGCTCTGTTACTTACAAGCTGGGTGACTGGCAAGGTTGCTAAGCTCCCCTGAGGTTTGGCTTTCAGGGCCCTCTGACTTCTGAGGGTACCAGCTAGCTGCATCGGGACACGAACATGTGTAATCGTCCCGTGCCAGAGACAAAGCCAGCTGATGAAAATTCTGTTGTGGGAGTTTGAGAGTGAGATCAAACCTGGCCGAGGATGTGAGGGGCACAGTTTCATGCGCTGACTCCCACATCTTTTTCTACAGACTGCACTTCATGTCCGCTAATCTTACTGTTGTTTCCGAGAGTTTTAAAAGGAGTGCTGTGATCCGATTTGTGCTTTAGGGAGACATTGCTGAAGACCGTGCTCAAGATGAACAGGACGTAGAAGTCATTACTGGAGCTTTTCACTGGTTTCTGTCCTCCCTTGGCAGCTGCAGGGGAGAGAGCGAGGAGCTCAACTCTGCTGCTGCCTTGTGTGAGTCAGTGCTACTGAGGCCTCTAGAATTTGCTAATAGCAACAGCAACCACCACGACAGCCAAAGCACCACAAAGCCGGCACGACGCATTTTGCCTGGTCTGTGTCAGGCCTTGTCCTTTGAAGCTTTATCCTGAAATTTTGTAATCCTCAAAGAGCCTGGGCATGGAGATGTTACCCATCTGACAGGTGGCTGGCAATGGAATAACTCGCCCACTGTTACGTGTGCGTGGTCATCGCTATTCTCACCCACCCGGCAGCATTTCCTCCTCCTCCTCCCCCCTCCCCCCCTCCTTCCCACTCTCTTATCCTCATGCCTACAGTAATATTCTGGAGGAAGGGGATTCCTTTCTCAGCCCCAGGACACGAACCTCACTGGTCCTCAGAGTTTCCTAACAGGTGTGAGAGTGAGAATAGCCACCTTTGCTTTTTTAACTGGAGGTTTAGACTGTTTGTTTTTAATGCATTTATGGATGGGCTGCCATTTCAAGCTACCATAATGCTATTTAGTTTTCTATTCTTCCAGCCATCGTTTGTCCTCTTTTCCATCTTTCCTTTGTATTAATTCAGTGTCTTTAATGACTCTGTTTTATAACCACTGTTGGCATATTATCTCTCCACCTTTTTTCTCTTTAGAGGCTGATTTAGTATTTGCGTCATACATCTTTGGCTTAAAATCTGCCCCTTTGCGTACATGGTGAGACAGTTTCTCCCCATTTCCTTCTTTCATCCTTGCTACAGTTTGGATCTTAAGGATCCCCCAAAGGTCCATTTGGTAAAGGTTTGTTTCCCCCTGCTTGATACTATTGGGGTGTTGGGGTTTTTAAGAGGCGGGGGTTAGTAGGAGGTCTTTGGGTTATTGGGGGTGTGTCCCTGAAGGGGGTTGTGGGAGCCCAGCCCCTTCCTCACTCTTTTGTGATTCCTGGCCATGAAGTCAGCAGCTTTGCTCTGCTGCCTCCTCCCACCGTGATGTGCTCCTCCCCATGGGCCACCTGCTCAAGAACTAAAACCTCCAAAACCGTGAGCTGAATCAAACCTGGTCTATTTGCAAGTGAATTGTTTCAGGTATTTTGTCACAGTAACAGAACGCGACTAATGCAGACCTTTCTGCCACTGTTACCTGCATTTCACTTTTACTTGTTAGGACCCCCACATATGCCAATGCTATGATATTATTAGTATGTGATTAGCTTTTGAACAGGTTGAAATGAGATAAAATGTCTTTCATAGCTATGAAAATGTTTACAGTATCTGATATTCTGAAATACAGATCCATCTATCCAACTGTGCTAAACTAAGAAATACATTTGGTCATTGTCTGCAGTTTTTAGTGCTGAGCTGCACTTGGGCTCCCAAGAATCCTGTGTCAGGTGAGTCTTGTTACTCACAGGAGTGCCACTTTATCACACCTGAGTTTGTGCTATGGGCTGCTGGCTCAGTATTGGGCCCCCGGGGAAGCCTCAGGATGGGGCTGGTCACAGAGGGACCCAGTTGTTAGAAAGTTAGAGCTTTCCCCACCCACATACCCTCCTCTAGCTCCTGCAAAGGGGGTGGGATGGAGATCGAGTTGCATAGAAAGTTTTTATTTCTTTTTGCAGCACTGGGGATTGAACCCAGCGCCTTAGCACGGAGCTGTATCCCCAGCCCCTTTTTTATTTTTTATTTTGAGACAAGCTCTCCCTAAACCACTCAGTTGTCCATGCTGGGTTCAAACTTGTCATTCTTCTGCCCGGGCCTGTCACAGTGCTGGGATCATGAGTGTGCACCTCCATACCTGGCTCCTAAAACTCTTTTAGCACAACGCAAGTCACTTACTAACTCTGAGGAAAACAAAATGTTTCACCAAGGTGGAGATTTAATTCAAATGCACTTCAACTTCAAACAAAACGTTATTATTATGTTGATGGAAATGTCACATGTTGAATACTTAAAATTAACACTTAAAATGATGCTTTAATTACTGCAGATAATCAGACATAAAAGGTGTGTGTGTGGGGTGGGTGTTGTGCTCCTTTGGGAGCTATTCTTCTTCACAAAGTTACTTCTCCCTTTGCCTGGTATTCCAAATTCTGAAGGAAAGCCACACAAAAATGATTAAGGTATCAGCTGTTGGGCTGGAGATGTAGCTCAGTAGTAAATTAATTGCCTAGCATGTGGAAAGCCTTGGTTTCGATCTCCAGCACTAAATTAAAAAAGGAAAGATATTAACTCCTTAATAATCTTTTTTTAGATTTACAAAACCCATAATATCTGTGGACCTTCAGATGACATCAGAATATGTACTTCCCCTCCTCATTCTTTGGTTCTGTGTAGTAACTGACATAAAGAATGTATACTGCTGCGATGTTTAACTTGCAGAAGTAATGTGTGCTGAAGGATCTTCAGGAACTAAAGAGGAGGTTGAGATTGGTTACAGCATTCTGGAGGTGGGAAGAGAGAGGGAGAGGGAGAGGGAGAGGGAGAGGGAGAGGGAGAGAGACAGACCCTGGTTGGTAAAGCCCTGCC